TTAAATTTCTAAAAATGATATAAGAGGAGAAGAAAGTAAAATTGAATAAATAAAAGAAGATTTGATGGCTAGTTGAGAGCTTTTACTCATTGCTATTATCATATATCTCAACACTAAGTTGTTAAGTTCTACCATGACAATCAGCGCAATATTGTGATTGAGAGCTTCGTCTCTAATCCCGTCTTTAGTTTAATAGTAGCATATATGAGTGTATTGTCACGAACAAAAAGTCCCGCATCGGCTAGGTGTAGGGCCAAAAAGCAGCATTTAAGTCCTAGGCTGCTCACTTCGCTTAAGAGCTCTTTTGAGAGGTGACAAGTGGTATCAGAGCAGATTACTGTCTGCTAGGTGTGTGGACTCTCCATGGTCCAGTGAGACCCTATGAGAAACTGATCCATGACGAGAGCGTCACGTGATTGGGCGGAAGAGAATGTCATGGACAAAAAGTCTCACATCGGCTAGATGTAGGGCCAAAGAACAGTATTTAAATTCTGGGCTGCCTACTTTTCTTAAGAGCTCTTTTGGGAGTTGACAGTATAGTAAAACAAATAATTAATATCCATCCCTTATATTTTAATGCTCACCTACAACAATATGAAGTAGAAAACAACTAAGAAGAGAATGATCGAGTACTTTAACCTCACAACGAAACAATGTCGGCATGTCACTCACTACGAATGGTTATTACCAAAAGCCACAATTTAGAGAAATGAAATGAATCCTTCAATTCCTCGAAGCATGGAGAAAATACTATGACACACGGTAGACAGTGTGGATCGCACCACACTGTCAAACATACGAAGTAGTACAATACGTCGGGACAACGGACGTAATATCTTCTCCTAAGATTGATACAACCACTTTCAATCTCCTAAATGCATCATGACAAGATGCCCATTTTTACAATAATTCCAAGCTTTATTCCATGTTTAAATCAATTTTTTTTGTTTTGTTTCAAAGTACACAGTGCACCAACCGATCAACTCTCCCGAACCATTTTACCATACATCCCAAAAAATGAAGCTTTTTTTCCCCCTTACAGGCTTAAGAAGAAAGAAGAAAATCAATGAAAAGATAGAATCATAATTAATGAGCTTTTGCAGAGAAGCTTCATGGAAATAAGAGTGAGAGCAGCCAACAGATGGGGCCGAAGGAGAGAAGCGGGCAAGGAGGCAGATGAGCTGCATGCCGTCCTGATGTGATTTTTCGCTGAAACTGGGATGGAGTGTGCGGGGAAGAAAAGAGCATGTGATTCGGCATTGGATTTATCGCAGGATCCACTTCTCCAGCATATATATCTGATACTATGATGGTGTTCCGCTTGGCTTTTCGAGTGATATGAGGTCTGCACACTTTTCGTGCACACTACAGCTTGAGAGTAGGTGGCCCAATCCAAGGCTGAGTTATTATTATTTTGGATTAAAATCAGTGAGTTACTGAGATTGAATGTAAATGTGTTTAGGAGATATGTATGAATTATATGAAGCTATTAATCAGATTAATATCTTAATATTATATGTGACATAATCAGAATAATTCACTATATGTTTGAAGTTGTAGAGTTTTACCTTGAGAGATGATGAGGTTAAATAAGTCTGAGTACTAGGTTTATACAGCAACAATGAAAATAAGAGTTGGGCTACAATGACCATACGACAATACTTAGATCACAAAAGTCACTAATGCGAGCTTCCGAGTCTTCTTCGAAAGTATCAGCTTAACTTTTGACTTTCTCCTGCCTCTTCTAGTAAAAATATGGATTAATTTATAGCTCTTAAAAATTGCATTATAATAAATTTAGCCTAAATCCCAAAATAACTCATAGAACAAATGATATTGATTCCTAGACCATGTCGTTTTTTCAATATCTTAGACTCACAAAATTCATTTTATTGAGACGGTTTGATTTGACTATGGATATGCTAAATTTAAAGATCATTTGACATTTCAATTAGTGTTTTGAAACTTATTACTATGTTTCAAATGCTTGGTTTAAGTTCATTTGGATTCAAACTTAATCTTTTTCAATGTCATTGGGCTCATGTCTTCGAGATGTTCTATTTGACTATAAAGCTATTGATATCGTAGCTTAAATGATATTGATTTGACATAGAATTTTTTCTCATGCACTGTGCATCGAGATTTGTGTGGGGGCGAGTAAATTAATTTATGGTGACTTATATATATCCTGCATGAATTTTCTAGGGCAAAAATGTTTTTTTGAGGAGAAGCTGCTGAATCATTTTTAAAAAGATTAAGAAAATTAATTATCATTATTTAATAATCATAATCAGTTTTATCTAACAATATTACTACAATTCATTCATGCATTAATAACATAGTATGATTAATTAACAGTAATCAGCTCTAGTCAAAATAAAATCAAAGAATTTTTTTTCAATTTACAACAAATTATTTTCTTTAATAAACAACAAAATCAATTTGCCATCAAGCAGAAAAGCAGATCTTGATGGCCCCAATCAAATATGCCTTTAAAGCTTCATTATATATATATAATTTGTTTTGCTCCCAAAATTAAAAATTTTTGGATTGAAAATTTTAACGAGCATTTACTTGCTTACTAAACAATTCTTGGAAAATAATTTTTTCCTGTCTGTGGGACAAGGGGTCTCTGTAATCATCAATTTATAGTGAATTTTTATAATTGGGTCAGACCCAATGGTTTTTTTCCTTTACTGATTTTTCACGTAAAAATTTCTGGTGTCATCACAGGTCGATTCTTTTTTATCTAAATGTGTGTTGAATCCTCGTGCAACGCTAAGACGATAATCCATTACCGCCGCGAATTTTCCAGTACGCATCAATCCCAAAATTAATTTTGTTTTGGATTGAAAATTCTAACGAGCATTTGCTTGCTTACCAAACAATTCTTTTGTACATAACACCTAAATATTCATATTTACATACATACCAATTTACCATTACATTAAGACTATTATCATCATTATTTTTTGTCTAAAGTAAAATATAATTTTTCATGCATAATTTTATGGCACGAATGATGTTATTAATGTAAATATCAAAGTATGTACTTTGGGTGTTAGATATGTAAATAGATAAGAATTGCGTGGTATGAATGTAAATTTTCCAAATTTTCAAAAAGCTAGCACGTACTTGGCGAGCATGAAAAACTCATGGAGTCGCTCGTTTAATTATATGAGAATAGGTACGATAATTTTATTGCAAATAACATAACAAGCATACAAATGAAAAATTATACATATACCGTTAACAACCTAAAGATTATGGTATATCTTAGCATCAATTGAGGCGAATTTTACATGTTTATGTTGAAAAAAGTGAGATAAATAAAGATAATTTTCAACATTAAAAAAATTTATTGTTGAAATTCAGAAGAATGAGAAATAATTTTATTGATATAAAAGGGATATAAAATAACATTTACATGAATCCTATAAAAGAAATAACAGGACATGAAAGATGTGGCACCTAATATCTTCAATTAATCAATTCATATTAATTATTTGGAGATAGAATAAACAACATAAAATAAGAACGCCTGAAATAGGAAAGGAAGCAAATATAACCTAAGAAAATGAATCTAAAATAGAAAAGGAAATAAAATTATGTCAGGAAATAAATCTAATCATCATAAATTCTAATAGTAATAAATTATTTTCTAATATAATGTCTAATAGTTCCCCTCAAGTTGAAACATAATTGAAAATTATGCTCAATTTGGATTTTGAAAACATCAGATAATGGACGAGGAAGATCCTGTGAAGTAGAATTTGAAGTCTTTATCTCGTACTACGGTTATCTTTGATTGCAGTTTTTATGATATTTGTAGGTAGGCGGAAGACTCCTGCAAATAATGTTGCAGAGGAATTTGTAAGGAAATAAACAACTTGCAGGAAAAATCGAATTCTAGTTGACTGTGATTGTCTTTGACTGCAGTTCCAGCAATATCTGTAGGTAGGCAGAATGCTCCTACAGGTAATGTTGCAGGGGAGTTTGCAGAGAAGTAGATTACCTGCAGAAAAAACTGACTTCTAGTTAACTGCGGTTGTCTTTAGCTGCAGTTCTTACAATGTCTGTAGGTAGACGGGAGACTCCTATATGAGAGTTTGTAGGGAAGTAGACAACTAACAAAAAAAAAATGCAGTGTATGACATGCAGAAAAATGAAAAGCTCAGGAGGAAGGCCTGATATAGAAACAAGCTCCAAAGGATGGCTGATGCAGGACAAACTCTAGAAGAAGGTCTGCTGTAAGATATTCCGAAGGAGGGCCTGATGTAAGAAAAAATTATGAAGAAGGGTCTGATGCAGGAAAAGGCCCTGGAGAAGGGTCTGTTGTAGGAAGAATTCAGGTGGGGACCTGCTCAAGGAAAAGCTCCGGAGGAATGTTTGCTGCAAGAAAGATTATGGAGGGTTTGATGCGAAAAAGCTCCAGAGAAAAGCTTGCTACAGAAAAAAGTTACGGTGGCAAAGGAAAAAACAGAGAAAGGCCCGTGTAGAGTTTTTTGGCAGCATAGAAAAAAACCGACGAAGTAGGGCATGTAGACCGATTGTTGGGAATCCATTCAAGAATACAATCAGTCATGCATCAATAATAGCATTTTTCGAGTCGCTGTTTTGTAAGAAAACCAACGATGAACTCCTCTGTAATAAACTTCCTTTCGTTTCCACCATTCACGGATGTGAAATGACGAAATACGCCATAAAGACGGCTGCAACCGCAACTTCTTGCAGAAAGGAATAATAATTGAAACTTGCAGGGGGCAAAAATGGCAAAAATAGCTCCTCCCCTCTGTCCAATTTTATTGCGAAGACATGTCCGGGAAAATAACTTTCCCTCGGTTGGGAGTGCTACTGGAGAGAGAAAGTCTCGCTCTCCGAACAACTGTAGCGGCTCTC